AACAAACACACACAACAACACACAAAAGAGAACACACACCACACAACACACACACACACACACACACAACAGACACACACACATACATACACACACACACACACACACACACCACACACACACACACATATATACACACACAGAATGCTGTTTTTCTGCAGATCTGCTGGTTTTCTATGCTGTGTGTCAGGGAGTGGAAAGTAAAGGTAAAGCGCTGTGTGGGCAACACTGTGTGTGTGTGTGTGTGTGTGTGTGTGTGTGTGTGTGTGTGTGGGTGTGTGTGTGTGTGTGTGTGTGTGTGTGTGTGTGTGTGTGTGTGGTGTGGTGTGTGTGTGTGTGTGTGTGTGTGTGTGTGTGTGTGTGTGTGTGTGTGTGTGTGTGTGTGTGTGTGTGTGGGTCAGGGTTAGCTGGGGTGGTACCGTTAGTTGAAGGAAACATCCATTGACCTGCTCCCTGCCTCCAACAGCTGCTCTGGAGAGCGACTGAATAACCAGAGGGGCAGGAACATATTCTGCTTCATCTCATACCTGGAGGATGCTACCTTGTTAAAGGGCAAACATACGAGGAGTGCAACACGGGAAGAAGAAGTAGAAGTCTTGTCTCTAAAGACCCTGTTCTCCCAATGTCTTGGTTTGTATGTTTTCATCATGAAGGCTTTCGAAGCACCATTTGCTTGTGTCTCTGAAAGCCAGAGGACAGCAGGAGGAGATGCTTATGTTATGTATGTGTGTGTTACCTATGGGGCAGGTCTTGCAGCAGTGTCCGGGCCGCAGCACCGGGTCAGAGCAGTCCAGCTCGGGACAGTCCTGTTTGATGTTCTTACAGTTCACTTTCCCAAACACCTTCCCACGACGGCTCTTTTGCTGCCAGGGGAACAGCATTCAACAAAAATCATCAGCCAATCAAAACGTTTCTCCTTGCTGAATTCATAACATCAAAACTGGACTCTCGCCCTGCGGTATCGCTCTGGAGGTCTTTGTCCAAAAGGTCCTTTTTCACGTTTCATTTGTCAATAACTTTGTCGTGTTACTGCAAATGGCATGATTGTTTTGTAAGAAGGGTATTTTCTCGTGTCCTGAGGGGAAGTTTTAAATCTGACTCTGTGTAAAAACTAATTACACACCAAATCAATGTTTGTTGCTAATCTTTGACATATCCAAGACTGTGATAACAAAAAGCCATTCCCCAGATAAGTATTATATGGAAAATAACTCATTTCCTCTGTTTTTCTCATGAAAAACCAGTGATTTCATGTATAATAAATGGCATTTAAAGGGTTAAAATCCTGCAATTGATTAAATAGTTGGTATTTTCGATCAGGACTGAAGCTGCTTTAAAGTTTGAATCCAAAAAAGTGGTGGAAAAAATATTTTAATATTGTTTTTATCAACGTTTTTGGCAGTGGACATTTTTGTCCCGAATGACTAATTAGGCAGTGTATTTGAATGATACCGGGTTAGTCACATTAACACATGCCTGTATTACTCTCATGGCATTGTATAGCTGCTACTCTGTTATCTTGGCTCTTGGTCCAATGGGACATTTTTCAGAAAAGCCGTAGAAAAATATGAATTTAATTTAATCGATATATTTAGCAGGAACACAGATTTGTTTATCTATCATATTAACATCAAAACTGGACTCTAGTTACATTCAAACGTGCCTGTATTACTCTGTGTACTCATGGCATTGCTGCTAATCTGTTATCTTGGCTCTTGGTCCAATGGGACATTTTTACAGCATGTCTTTGGAGGAAATGGCATTGACTTATAAAAACTCACAGTTTCGCAGTAACACTGAACACAGTGCATGACTCCGAAGGGCTCGCCCAGGTCTGGGTGCCATGTGTCCTCCAGAGAATAATAGCGACCTCCGAACGAGCATCCTGCAAACACAAACACGGTGATTAAACATCTTCAGGGTCTCACTAACTCAACAGTGTTTGTCTCGTTCCAAACCAGAGGCAGGCATGATAACAAACACAGAGGAACATGGGTTTGTGCTTGTGCATAAATGATGGGGAACACAGGATATTTAGATGAACTGTTCTTAATATTTAAGAGGTGGATTTTATGAATTGTCTGACATGAAACTCTGAGCCATTGCATGCACCCTCTTTAACAACAGATACATCTTGCACAGCTCATTGCCCGGGCACGCAGGAGGAAACTGAAACTCTCTGCTTCATGAGTTTTGGATATCACATCCCGTTTCCTCTCAGTGATCCACGAGCAGTCAGGGGAGACGTTCGATTTTCCTCTGACGGACGATCACAGATTCCCAGAAACACACATAACGTAGGCCAGACTTTCAAAAAGACTTAATGACGTGAGGAATTTAGGATTTAGCTGTAAATGCTATACGACCGTAAGTGAGGAGGTACTTTAAAGTGGACCTTTGGGACCGTTTTGTTTGGTTCAGAATATGAGAATTGAAATGAAACAATGACTGTAGGACTACAGAGGTGTTTACTGTACACCCACACCACGGGACATTTGAGCCAAAGAGGCAGAAGTGCCACGTTGAGTATTTTATATGACAAAAAAAAGGGTTTTCATTGCTATATTTTCTGTGCTAAAAGTCAGAAAAGGAAACTGAAATAAAGACTGATTAGTTGGAATTAACAGAAAGTCGGGTTTTGGCACATAAAACATGTTTGTTATAACACATCATAGGACCCTGATTTTGATCAAACTGTGGTACCATTCACTGAAGTCAGAATATATTGAGCATTTCTATAAAAATTGCATATAAAAAACACATATTAAACAGTTTGAGCACAGTGATTTTGGCACTAACCCTTTCCTAACTAATGCAGAATGTGTTATTTACACTTCAATGAACACCAAATGAAATCCCAGTATCTCAAAAGGTCTTTAAAATTCCATGATGCAAGGACTTTGGTATTGTGTTTTCTGCTAAAAAAAAAGACACAATGAAAACATTTTCAAATGGTCTTATGAGCCAATGTTCTGCATTGGTTTAGTGGAACAATGTGCCAAAAACAGGCCTCTTGCACTCTTTTGCCATTTGATGTTTCATTTGCTCAATCGGATTCTACAAAAAGCTCAAATATTGTCTTCAGTACATGTTAACAGCTTCTACTTACACCTTCTTGGCAAAAAACAATGCCTTTGAATGGTCTATTAAGAAACAATGTTAACTGCACTTTTTACTGTTTCACTCAAAATCCAGTGTGCTTACTGCTTAGAGCCATAACCGTATAAAACACTAATGTATGCTGCCGGCTCTGTGTAATGTTTTTACAGGAGATAAAACCCAGCTTTGACTTTAATTAGTGAAGCCATTATTGAGTGTTAGTCACGCTGTGTTACTATGAATATCTCAGTGATTTTGGGTTAGGATAACAGCCTGAGAGCAGTGTGTGTGTGTGTGTGTGTGTGTGTGTGTGTGTGTGTGTGTGTGTGTGTGTGTGTGTGTGTGTGTGTGTGTTTCTGCGCGCTGCTACCAACCTGGTTCACATTATTCCTTCATTAAAGTGACTGCACACTTTGAGCAGTCCAGTTAAAGGAGAGCCAAACTGTGAGGCTGCCACTTCTGTCTCTGCACAAATAAATCATCTCAGAGCAGCCAATGCTTGTAATGTAATGGAAAGTCGATTGATTACAGTTTCCAGAGAATTGCACCGTAAGGCAGGCAGCGTTTAAGAGTTCCCACAGTTTGAACTGCAGAGCAGTTACCTACCTTATAACAACCGCAGTGAGTTTTGTAGCAGGGGCTTTTTAACACATCAATCAAATGGCATCCACTGCGGTTATGACTCAGATGTTTGCCTCTGGTTTACACATGGAGCTCAAGAACAATTCAAGGCAACTTGGGGAAAAAACGGAGTTTGTGTGGGCCTAGTCCATTACTGCGGAGACAGTTTTAACTTAACTGTTTGTGCTAAAAGGTCCAAGGACACAACACACCAGGCTTCATGGGAAAATCATCCAATTTAAGATGTTTTGTTTGTTTTTACAGCCAAAAGATTATATTTTGTGTCATACTTGCACTACCGTAGGCTAGTAATGCTTACATCAATTCGGCATCCTCTTTGGAATAAAGTAACTGCATTCAATATTAAATAAAATACTTTTAAATGGTCTCTTAGTGCTCCGCTGCCCACGTTTGTGAGAGTAAATGGTCAGGAATGTTGATAGGATGCTAGCCGAATTGACAAATGGCTCCTCTTAAACCATAAAAAATACTTTCTTTACAGTCCCATAAACACAACATGCCTACGACTGGTAACATTACAAATTACTTTTTTAACTGAGATTTGGTACTTTATTGTACTCACATATTGGTACTACAAAATTAAACATGGTTGGAATTATAGTAGCTTGTATTTTCTTAATTTTTGTTCATCTTGTGAAGCCGAATGAAAAACTGAAGCCTCTTAATTAATGACAAATGCATAGTTACTTTAAAGTCCCATAAACACAACATGTCCAACACTGTTCACATTAAAAATAACTTTTCTTTTACGGGGTTTTGTATGGCTCGTTCTCACACAGTGGTATTATAGCCAAGTTGGAATTGGAGTAACTTGTATTTTCTTAAAATGATGCTCAATTAGGCTGTTTGTGTATTGGAAGCTAGACGAATTGTCTAGTGGCTCCTCTTCATTGATAACATATAAAAAGTAACTTCAAATTCCCATAAACACAATATGCTCAGCACTGATCACCTTAAAAATGACACTTTTTTAAGGGAGGTTTGGTGCGGTGGTGTTGTAGTGGTATTATAGCAAACAAGACATGGTTACAACTGTAAAAACTCGTAAATAAAAGTAAAATATATGTGTTTTTCTTACCGGCCAGACCTTTGGAGGGCAGCGGCTCCCTCTCGGACTGGATGGGCAGAGCCGGAGACTTCAGCCGCGAGGCTCCGGTGCGCAGCCAAGCGCAGCTCAGCACGCACAGCAAGGAGCGGAGCGCAAGGGGACCCAGCATCCCAAATCCTCTGCGAAATCACTTCCTCTCAAACACTCCAATACTTTAATGCAGCCACTGGCGACTTATTCACCCCCCCAAAAAGGTCTTCCTTTACGTCCAAGTGTCCGGTTTGTGTGAGTTCCTGTTTATAATCATCCAGGGTTTCAGTCAGGGAAGAGGTGTTCCAGTCTGGGCTTCTGTCCTCCGCAGAGTCCCGATCCTCTGTGCTTTATAGGCGGCTCTGCTGACAGCTTGGAGCCGGGGGAGGAGGGGGAGGTGAGGGGTGGGGGTGGGTGATGGAAAAGGGAAATGGACGCCCCTGTCAATCCACTAACTCTTCAGATATGCAAACGAGCAAGTCTGATTCAACTTGGCGACCAACACTTCTGTTTTCACTCCAAGTCCTGGAGCTTTGTAAATGGTGTTAGTGGAATTCAAGGGAATGGAAATGTCCTCATCCAAAATAGTAACTTATAGATACAAATGTTGAAGTAGGGGTTCATAAAACTCACATACAATCAACAAAATAATAGCAGCTGAAAGGAGAGATACATGAACTTAAAACTAACCAAAACTTCTGTTTTCACCCTAAAAGTCCTGGAGCTTTTTAATGGTATTAGTGGAATTAAAGGGAATGGAAGCTCCTCAAACACTTACTTTTAGATTAATTGTCTTTAACCTAATGGTAACACATGTTGAGGTACAGTAGGTTCATATACAGCACATGTTTTATTGTAAATGCATAGAATAAGTGTATCTGCATTAGAACCAATGACAGTCAGTGTGAACTTGTTTAAAATGGATATTTAAGCACAAAATAATAATACAAATAATATATTTTTTTGGAACAGCTGAAAGGAGAGATACATGAACTAAAAACTAACTGACTAACTAACTACTGTTTTCACCCCAGAAAGTCCTGGAGCTTTGTGAATGGTGTTAGTGGAATTAAAGAGAGGGGAAAGCTCCTTTTCAAGTAATACTATAGCTTTGAATAATTTGTAAGATTCAAGAAGATAAAAAAGCGTTATAGTCTTTAACATAATGGTAACATATGTAGAAGTGATGGGCTCAGAGACAGCATAAGACTCACATAACATCCCATGTATCCACGTGTTCCTCCTGTAAATGCATATAAATCTGCATTTAAGTCAATAACAGTCTGATTGACCTTATTTTAAATGTATATTGCATCAGGATTGCAATGTTTTCTGAGTTGTCTTGTTGGAGTAGCTGAAAGGAGAGATAAAGGGGAGGTGAAGCATCTTTAATGCTTGCCTTTATTTTACTGCTCAGAGTTGGGTTTTTCTTTTGCACTTCTTTTGAAGACCTTTAGTTGTTTGTCAAATAGCCTCCACACAGATATGGGCTCATTGTCACACTCTGTGTTACAACCAATGGAGAGAAAGGGCCACGTATACATTTATTTTCAGTATACCGTATTTATTTTACCGTACAGTATTTGATTTTACATTCTGTGTCTGTTACTCTTATTCTGTGGGAGGCTGTGGCTCAGTGGATAGTGTGCTGGACTTTCGGATCAGGGGAGCACAGGTTCAAACCTCGCTGCAGTCAGCATGTCGTTGTGTCCCTGAGACTCTTCACCCCAAAGTGCTCCTGTGGGGATTGTCCTCAGTATTGAGTATGTGAGTCGCTTTGGATACAAGTGACATGTAATGTAAAGCTCTTACTCTTCTGTATTTATGTCGCTGCTGATACCTGAACTTCCCTGGGGATTAAACGATTTGATCTTTATTCCTGCATTTTGATTGCACCATTGTGTCACATGCACTATTTCATTTCTCTATATCTTATAGTTATAGTTTACTGCATTGTAGGAGGAGCCCGGGACTTCAACTGGTATTGCCAAAACGACATATATGACGATAAAGCCTTTGAATAGTATCTGCTCTAAATACGTAAACGTGACATCATGTACAGTAAGGAATGTGTGTGTGTGTGTGTGTGTGTGTGTGTGTGTGTGTGTGTGTGTGTGTGTGTGTGTGTGTGTTCAGCGTATATTTGTTCCAAGTGTGTTTGGAGCGGAGACCTAAGTGACTTAACAGAAACAAATGAAAATAGCTGGAATACCTCGGAGGGACACGCCGCAGTTCGAGCTGCAGACCTCCGTCCTCTCAGAGCTCAAGAGTTTATATTAGACGACAGAAATCCTATTAGCATGACGCTCACACGCAGATACTGGCACAACGTAGCTGAGTACACTTACTCAAGTACTGCACTGAAGTAAGTAAGAACTTCACTTGACATTTTGCATTTCTTTGAAAGCTGTTGTTGCTATTTATATCTATATATCTACAAAATACAAATAAACTGATCAAATGTGATGATTTATTATAAATTAAGATACCAAGCAATATATAAAATGATACAACATGATGAAGACATGTATGTTATATTTGATCAGGATTTATCCTTTAACGCCCACATAAAATCAATTTCAAGGACCGCCTACTTCCATCTACGTAACATTGCAAAAATCAGGCATATCTTGCCTCAAAACGATGCAGAGAAACTAGTCCATGCATTTGTTACTTCAAGGCTGGATTATTGTAACTCCTTATTATCAGGGTGTACCAAGAAGTCAGTCAAGTCGCTTCAGCTGATTCAAAATGCTGCAGCTCGTGTACTAACCAGAGTTAGGAAAAGGGACCACATTACTCCTGTTCTGGCTGCCTTACACTGGCTCCCTATAGAACACAGGTTAGAATTTAAAATTCTTCTTCTCGCCTACAAAGCCCTTAATGGGCAGGCGCCATCTTACCTTAAAGAACTCATTATACCCTACTGTCCTACTAGGGCATTGCGTTCCAAGAATGCAGGGTTGTTGGTTGTTCCTAGAGTCTCTAAAAGTACAATGGGAGCCAGAGCCTTTTCTTATCAAGCTCCACATTTGTGGAATCAGCTTCCAGTTTGTGTTCGGGCGGCAGACACCCTATCCGTTTTTAAGAGTGCGCTTAAGACCTTCCTTTTTGATAAAGCTTATAGTTAGGGCTGATTAGATTCAGCCCCTAGTTTTGCTGATATAGGCTTAGTTTGTCGGGGGACATCTTACTTCTTCCTTCTCTCTGTCTGTACCTGTGTACTCTCATGTTCCGATTAACCCAGCTTCCCCAAATGTCTTTCTTTTTGGTGTCTATATACGCCGGGATCCGGAGTCATGGATGATCCTGCGCTCCTGTGTCCTGCATCGCGAGCCCTGGATCTTGAGTCGTGGCTGTGGTCCTGGATCATAGGTCCTGGATGGATATCCTCGTGGATTCATCTTACTATTATACACACATGCATTTCCAAACATTTGGACTACCTATGTTGCAAATGTATTATCTTTTCAATTTACACACGGCATCTATTGCACGTCTGTCCGTCCTGGGAGAGGGATCCCTCCTCTGTTGCTCTCCCTGAGGTTTCTCCCATGTTCCCTTTAAACTGTGGGTTTTTTCCGGATGTTTTTCCTTGTACGATGTGAGGGTCTAAGGACAGAGGGTCTAGGACAGAGGGTCTGAGGACAGAGGGTCTGAGGACAGAGGGTGTCGTATTGTCATACTGATATTTTGTACAAACTGTGAAAGTCCACTGAGACAAATGTAACATTTGTGATATTGGGCTATATAAATAAACATTGATTGATTGATGTTGCTAATGCTGTTGTTGTTGTTGTTGTAAATGTCATTTTTTTCATTTTGATTTCTCTTACATGACTTATATGCACTGCAACATTTGTTTTGTAATTATTTATTTTACTTGTTCGAAATAAATGTACCAATCAATCAATCAATCAATCAATCAATCAATCAATCAACGAAGACATTCATAATTCAATAATATCATATTGTTCTGAAATGGGTCATACTGCATGAGAAGTCGTTTTAATTGTGGGCACATTAGGTATATTGTGATGCCAAAACTATTGTACTTTTACTTGAGTAAGTATATTTACATTGTAATAGTTTAAAGTAAAAGAGCTGAGCACGTCTTCCACTTCTACATGTCAAACATATGTTTCTATTACACTTAAAAGGACTTGAGTGAAGCTGATAAAACTCATGACAAGAAGAGTTTGACTTTTACGGGTAACTTAGTATTTTATCTTCTTTCACTTTTGCAAAATATTGCCTTTAGTGATAGTGAAACGTCCCTCAATAGTGTTGTATATTTTCCATTAAAGTTGACATTTCTATACTTGAACAACAACTGAAATATAAAAACACTGGTGTACTTCTTGTTCTTTCACTCACGCGTTCTTCTTCCACATCTGGATGCAGGCGTCAGACCCTGAGAGGAGCTTCACAACATCTTCACGTGAAATATATATATATATATATCGGGGTCTTTTTCAGCTCTGGGAAATGTTCCCATCAAACGGTCAGACGGTCGAGGAGGGATTTATCTCAGAGTCGAGTTCAGAACGGGTCGGGCCTGTATGGATGAAGTGTTGGGAATAAAGGAGTGATTGACCGCGGATACATGTATACATCATGAAACCACGCCGTGCTTATGCTGTACGTGATGTCCAGGGTTTGTTATACAGTACTCACATACTGTGCGTCTTTGTTAACCCTTAGACGCCCGAGTGGCTGCACCCACTCTTCCATAAGTGGGTCAAAAAGGACCCGTATTAGAATAATGTGTTTTTATGCCATTTTGGTTAAGAAAAATCACTTGTTTAATATTCAGTATTATAGTTTGGTTCACACTAAACATATTTTATTTTATATACATTTTTGACCCAGTTATGGGGTATAATAATACAAAAACTACAATTTCTTAAAATTTAAATTTAAAATGTGAAAGGCGTGATATCCAAAACATGTTTTTGAGGAATAGCTGGAATATGAAATGATAAGAAAACCACCTCACCGGGTCAGAAAAGACCCACTTATACATCTAAGGGTTCAACTTTACCTTAGTATTATAATGGCATGCTACTCCACTCGTTTTGGAAGCATTTATTCCGCTTTTTATATATAATAAAACATTTGTGTTATCATGATATGATGCAGTACTGTACCAATATACTAGAAAGTGTGTACGATTATCTCCACATTGACCAAACACAACATTTAAATGCTCTTACAAGTTTGTGTGCAATAGTAATAATATTCTAATATACCATTTTGAAAATAGCTTTTGTGCTTTACGTTGAGTTTTATTTTAAAAGTTTATTTAGCTAATAGTACTTCTACTTAAGTAATATTTTGAATTCA